CAACTTCTTCTCATTATGACGGACAATTAATAAATAACGTAATTTTTACAAAGGCGAATAAATAAAGAAACTAATTAAAAGAGATATATGCATTTATGTCTCACTGTATAATACATTTTTTACCTACGTTTATTTATTTATTGTATTTTGGAGGGCAATTAATTGTATGCTTATTTATTTATTGAGTATTTATTTATTTTGGTATTTATTATTAAATATGGCAGTTGGTCCTCCATACAGAGAGAAGTAACAGCAAATAAATTTAACAACCTGAAAAGTAGCTTTAGTACGTGGGAAAGTCATTCCAGCGTACTCCACTACCATAGACATTATGTAAAATGAAAAAAAGCATCAAATTAAATAACGACACTGCAATTCTTTTTGGGAAAATGTAAAAAACTGCAAACCTTTTGGGATAATTAATTCAAAAATATCAACTTGACAGGTTTTTTTTGTGTTGGTTGTTTTTTTTTTTGGTTTTACGCACAAATGGAGTAATAGTTCAAATAAATGTAACATCCCAGTATTAAAATAAATAGCAATAAAATTGTTTAATTGCTCCATGTTTCAATGAATTGTTTCAAACAAAATTTTCAAATGACAACACTAAGTAACAACAGTTTCGATATTTATTTTAATTTTAGTTTGAACTGAAAGCATGCTAAGGCCTGCGCAGTGTGTATCTGTTTTGCCTTGCAGAAAGAGGGTTCTGGGTTCGATTCTCGCCGCTTGATGTTTCTGCATAGTGTCTCCATGTTCTCCCTGTGCATGTGTGGGTTCTCTCCGGGTACCCTGGCTTCCTCCCATAGTTCAAAAACATGACTGTTAATCGGCTTCTCTAAAATTGTCCTTAGTTTGGACTGTGTGGTTGCAGGGTTGTGTGTCTTTGTGTGTCTCTGTATTGCACTGCGACACACTGGCAACCTGTCCAGGGTGTTCATGTACCTGTATCTTGCACATATAGACTGCCAGAGATAGGCACCGGCCCCACTGCGACTCTGATGGATTGAGCTACAGAAGATAGATGGACGGAGGGTTGAAAACACTAAACTCTGCCTCTACTGAAAAAATCTGGAAATATAGGTCTGCTCTGAGCTACATGCAGCATGCATGTCACACTTGTTTCTATGGGTGAAGCTCTGTTGGACGTGTCAAACACAGCTGAATTGCATTTTAGTTTACAAGCAAATAGGCAATACAATAAGTCTTTCCTCCATTTTGCATCAACTGATGTTTGGATGCTTTGTATTGTCTGAAAAAGGATAATCTCTCCACCACCGTAAGGAAAGTTAAAGCCCAATTATAAGTTAATTTAAGACCTAAACCTTAAAAAAAAAAAAAAAGATTTTTAATTGAACTGATTACAAGCATGTGAACAGCTTCTGCTTAGGGTTGGGCAGAAAATATAGTGTAAAATCTGTGAACAGCGTTTTTTGATCAGCTGGTGGCGCTGTTGATGCAAGAATGTGCAACTGTTGAGCCAAGAGAGGAGGAAAAAAAGCTTACAGCAAAGATTTTGAAACAAAGACAGGGAAGAGGACTGTGAAGAGAGTGGGATAAGGTGAGGGTACATGCAAAAGAACATTTAACAAGATCATCAATCCTTTGCAAGAACTCAGCATTGCATTGAATTATATTTATGTGTAGATATTGTAGATAGATAGATAGATAGATAGATAGATAGATAGATAGATAGATAGATAGATAGATAGATAGATAGATAGATAGATAGATTTCTGCAGTTTGAGCTAACCAATTTGAAAGGAGCATTCTCATCTATTTCACTAATATCCACTGGGTGTGCATGATTTGCATATCTTCCATACTCTCTCAGCTAATGCATAATTGATACAACTGTCATCTCCCCAACCATAATAACATCATTCCAAAGGGAGCAGTGAGAAATGAATCCTGGCATTTGAACCTCTTGAGCCAAGATTAAGATATCTCCAGAGCTGTCACCTAAAAATAGACATAGAATCGTCAGACTCTAAATCAATACTGTTTGCTTTTTTGCATGATTTTTTTCTAATGGCATACAGTATCGCTCAGAGTAAAGCATCTACACCTGTTGCAGCAATTTTTTTTCCGCCCCC